GGGGGGGGGGGGGGGGGGGGGCATCAGCTGACACCCACCACAGCCCCACCCACCCCGCCCGAGGCACAGAGCCGACCCCAGGGCCCCCGGGCAGCAGCCGGCTGAAGGCAGAGCCCTCCAGTGGGAAGGACCTGACACGCCGCGAGGGTGACCCCGAGAAGAGGCTCCCGGGCAGCAGGGAGGACAGGGCCGCAGGCTCATCAGTCAGGGTCACCTGGGGCCCAGCTTCTGGGGAGGGGGCATGAAGTGGGTTCTCCTGGGCCTGGACACGGGGGGTGGGGTGGGGCTTTCATTTCAGAGGCCGTGGGGGGGCCGGCAGTAAAGGTCCTGGGAGAGGGTGGCTGGTGGCCAGGTGCCTCCAGTGTCCCCCACCCCCAGGAGAGCGGCCGTGCCCAGGGGGGATGTCCCCTCCCCAACGCTAACCACACTCTTCCGCTGCCAGCTGCCGCCCAGGAGTGGGCCCCTCCCCAGACACGGGGGTGGGGGGCGGAACGGCCCCAGAGCTGCCCCCCAGAGAAACGCTCCTAAAGGGCACCTGTTCTGACAAAAGCAAAGAAAGAAAAACGGGGAGAGGATAAGAGAGGAAGCAGCAGAAGACACGGGGAACGTGAGGGGGAAGGACAAGGAAGGAAGGGACAGAGGCGGCGCCCACACGCAGAGGGGCGGCCGGGCTCACAAGGCCACACCTGCCGTCAGCGCCCCCACCCCCACCCCGGGGAGGGCGAGCACAGGCGCCAGGGCCACCCCCCCCGGGGCTTAGCGGGGGCGCCCACAGACAGGCCATAACCCCCCAGAGGGGGTTCAGAGGCCCCCCCCAGCTGACTCCAGCACTGTTCTCCACCGGCTGGCCGCCTGCTAGAAAGCTCCACCAGCCCCCGTCTCCGCAAGGTGACTTGGCGAGCAGGTGAGGGGCCAGCTGGCTTGGTCCTTCCCTCGGGGCGGCTGAGTGAGAAACGGCACCAGAAGCCGCGGGAAATGCTCTAGAATGATCACGGCAGTCTTCCCACTGTGCCCTGCTTCCTCTTTTACACCCGAGACAGGAACTCACCGCGATCTGGCCAGGTTGAGAGGGTCCAGGAAGAGGTGAGGGCGTGGACACCCCGCACCTGCCCAGGCCGCACACCTGCACGCGTGGGTCCCTCGGGTGCGAGGTGGGGGGAGGGGGTGCCCACCAGAGTCACCGTCCGAGGGGAGGCCTGAAACAGTAACAGGAGCAACAGCCCAGCTGGCCCTGGTCACCAGCGTCGGGGCTCAAGCGCAGGTCCCCGAGCCCCTGCCTGGCCCTGCGGTGCCTTCATTCAGGCCAAAGCGGGGGCGCCCTCCTGCCTTGTTTCTCCTTGCCTGAGAGCGATGAACGTGGCCCTCAGAGAAAACTGCTGTAAGACAGACCTAAAAGCTCAGAACTAGAGAAAACGCAAACAGAGCAAGACCACAGAACACAGCCCACAAAGTCCCCACGTTCGATGTAGAAAATGAAGCCCCAACCGGCACCCGGCTCACCCCCTCAAGAAACCGGCCTGGCCTTCCACTCACTGCACGCGGGCACCTTCCCCAGGACGCCACCAGCTGCCCAGTGGCTCTCCCTGCCAGACGGGGCAGAGACCCGCACAGCCCTGGCCGCCCCACCAGCAATTCATTCGGGAGTGAGAACGCGAGGGGCCTGGAGAGACCCCTGCAGCACGATTCCAAATAGGCCCAACTACGCGACGCGGACACGGGCGGCCCGGGCACCCGTCTCTGAGGATGGCTGCCAAGAGGCCCCCTCACCCCCCGTCAGACCACACCTGCCAGAAGATTCCAACCGCATCTGGGGACCCCGTGACGACTGTGACCAGTAAGAGGCAGGGACTGTGTCTGCTGGAGACAGGAGACGCACGGAGGGGAGGAGACGGCAGTGCGCACGGCCACGCAATGAACTCGGAGGCCCTGGCTGCCAGCGGTCTGAGAGAACCTTCCTGGACCTTCCAGCCCAGCTATTAGCCGAACGGTCACATGAATGACCTCGACGCCTCGTGGAACAAAAGAAACTGCCCAGTCAACACCCCACGTCGGAAGAAGTAACAAACTGCCGAGAGCTGAAGTCACGGAGCTTTGAGGTGGCTGCTCAGGGTGAGCGCACGCAGACGCGGGCGGCAAACAGGCAGTGACCTCAAAGCTCAGTGACCCAGGCCCATGATCTGTCCAGATGGCAGGGGGCCAAGCAGGGGTCTTCTGAGAAACTGAGAGCGTTCCCTAGACTTATTACCTAAATTAAACACATACAATTTGTATACTTCTGTGGGGCACCCAGCTCTCAAAACTTGACACAACTTTCAGTAAGAAGAGAGAGAGGCGCAGGCCGCACTCAAGCCCAAGAGAAGGATCTCCAAGCACGTTCCCGGCTGCTCTCGCTGGGCCTCCGGTCTCAGTGGGCTTGAGTGGGGTCCACGGGGCACTGGCCACGGAAAACACAGCCCCTCTCATTCCCTTCAGTTCCCAAACATCCGCAAGCAGATGGTGACGTAAGAAGGGCTTCTCCTTGGGAGGTGAAATGCAAGAAATTCAACAAAATCTGGATCCTGGGGTCCCACCCTGCCCCCAGTAATGACAGAATGGCATTCGCGAAGTCTCTTCAACATGCAAGCCAACATGGTGCTGTGCACGGTACCACCCGACCACCCGAGAACTCAGAACATGGCCGCTCCGGGGGCGCATCTGATTTCGGCTCAGGTCATGATCTCGTGGTTTGTGAGATCGAGCCCCACGTCAGGCTCTGTGCTGACAGCTTGGAGCCTGGAGCCTGCTTAGGATTCTGTGTCTCCCTCTCTCTCTGCTCCTCCCCTGCTCGTGCTCTCTCTCTCTCTCAAAAATAAACAAACATTTAAAAAAATTACAAACAAGGAAAAGAACATGGCCACTCTGGGAGTCCAGTTCGCACTGCGGCCTCTGGGACTCGGGGAGGCGAGAGGCAGTTCAGCACCGTGGCAGCGGCAGGGCCTCTGGGGTGGGGCCAGGTGGGACCCGAGTCCAGGTTCTGCCGCCCCCCCCAGCCGTGTGTCTCCAGCAAAGCTCCTCCTCTGGCAAAATGGGGCCAGTGGGACCGCTACCCACGCGTCTTACAGACTGACTGACAGAGGAGATCATGTAAGCACAGCGCCCGTTCAGTGCCTAAGATTCAGTAAACACTCAACAAACAAATGCTACCAAGAAAGAGAGATGCAAATTATGGCTGTATTTTTAGGCCGAAGATCGTATCAGAGGGTTTCTACGTATCCTTTTATGCTGGGTACCTTGGGTGCCCTCAGTAGCTATTCAGGGACTTGACCTTGTTAAGAAGTTGTAATCATAACCCGTTATTCTTTCTAAAAGCAATATGGAAAAATCCCAGAGCCCAATTAACATTAAGAGAGGGAGGGCGTGAACGGCGGGGCATTGGGCAAGAACCATCCAGAGCCATTTTCTCCGTGGGGGAAGCACTTTATATTGAACTACTGTTCTGTTCAACCCCGAGGGCACTCCCGGGTGTAGGCTGGAGGGCCTGCCCAGAGCTCTAAGTGGGTCCACACAGCTCCGCTCCATCTCAGAGTCAAAGGGGCGCCTGTCCAACATGAAATGTTACCCAGGTTATTAGCAAGCACTGAGCTGTGGGCCGGGTTTCCCACCTGCCACGCGGAGGGAAGCCATCAAGCCAGGAGACAAGTGGCTGAGCACAAGACACCAATCTCGATGAACAGCAGTCCCCAGGTCCCAGAACACGACGTGCCTGACTGCAGGCCTGGACATGGCACAGCCGGCTCACGTCCAGGGGCAGGGGAGAGGGATCACCACTCAGCATTCCAGATTTTCTAGAAACACAGGTGGGTCCTGTCTACAGCTTAGCACACACAAACTCGGGTCAAAGAAATGGAAGTTCACAGCAGGCCAGCCCTGCAACTGGAAGGCCAGCCCTGCAACTAGAGACCCACCTGCCCAGCCCGCCCACCTGTCCATCCGTCCGTCCATCTGTCTGTCCAGCTGGTGTGACAGTCCGTCCCTGTCCAGGGCCACATGGTGGAGAGGCGGATGCCAGCAAAACCAGCTCTCCTGGCACCTCTCTCTTTGCCCAGCAAGTACAGTTCTGACGTGAAGCTTCTGCTTCTCAAACTTTTAAAAATCAATTTCCCCTTTAGGGTAAACACACAAACAGACTCAGCCCTTCCCAACGGCCCCAGATTGACACTTTGTCTTCCACTGGGTAACGGCCCCGCTCTGAAAATCAACACAATCCGACCAGCCAAGATTCAGTAGCGTTTTCTTTAAAGTCTGTCTTACCAAAAAAAAAAAAAAAAAAAAAAACCCACTGATTTTTAAAACTCTAAAAATAATATCTAAATAGAAAGTTAAACTGTAGGGGCGCCTGGGTGGCTTAGTCGGTTAAACGTCCGACTTTCGCTTGGGTCATGATCTCGCAGTTCGTGGGTTCGAGCCCCGCATCGGGCTCTGTGCTGACTGCCAGCTCAGAGCCTGGAGCCTGTTTCAGAGTCTGTGACTCCCTCTCTCTCTGACCCTCCCCTGCTCACACTGTCTCTCTCTCCTAAAAATAAAAATAAAAAAAAATTAAAAAAAAGAAAGTTAAACTGTACAACTGCCTTTGCTTTTCAAATTCGACAACCCCCGTTCCCTCTAACACTTAACCATGTTTCTGAAGAGGGAACGAGCATCCCTTTCCCTGACCCGGATGGACCCCACCGCTCCAGGAAATGTGGCTGAGCGGGAAGGCTGGCCAGCCCTGAGGAAAGTGCGGACCTTGCTTCCAAAAAGACAAGATCAGAGTATGTGGGACTTGGTGGAATGATATCATTCTCCCAACTCGTCCCCCAGCCTCTCCACCCCATCCTCCCTGAGCACCACCACGGCCTGAAACGAGGCTGGTCTCCCCCAGTTTAATAAACTCACTGCTGGCTGGGACTGACTGACTTCCTCCTCACTGCTGTTGACTGCACCAACCCCAGGACCTTGCTCTCAGCCCTCACATGGTTATAAATCAAGTCGGGAAACAGGCCTGTACAGAGAGGTAGGGGATTCCTGGCCTTTTTTTTTTTTTTTTTAATGTTTGTTTATTTATGAGAGAGAAGAACATGCACACATGCAAGTGGGGGCTGAGGATGAGCAGGGCAAGGGAGACAGAGAACGCCAAGTGGGCCCCACGCTACAAGTGCAGGGCCCAATGAGGGACCTGAACCCACAACCCACAAGCTCATGACCTGAGCTGAAATCAAGAGTTAGAAGCCCAACCGACTGAGCTGCCCGGGTGCCCCTATTCCTGGACTTTTTGAGTGTGACTAACTCAAGCTCAAATATTCCGTGGACACTCATGACATAATAATTGTACTTTTGGTGCTTGTTAATGGAGAAAATAATAGACAAAAACCACTATGGAAAATCATTTCCATCCTAGTAATCAAAATAGCATCTTTGTGCATTTAAGAGGTCATTTGAGAGGTCATGGGAACGAGAATCTGCTTCAATATACAGAGAAACTGGGGGAGGGGACAATACAGCTGTGTGGCTACATAACTATCACTTCCCCTCTAAGGGTCCTCAGCCCCTAAATCGGAGAACAGACCCAGGGACAACGGCCTTTCACAGGCACTGAAGGAGTGCTTGTCAGAGGTGCTACATTAGAGCCGCAAGTCTCGGGGGAGGCCAGGTAATAGATATATGATCTCACACGCTAAGTGCTGTGAAGAAGGGCTCAAGACGATGAGGAGGCGAGAGGCAGAAGCTGTTTAATATTCAAGAAAACAGTCAAGGAAAACCTGAGGTGACACTTAAGCAAAGACCTAAATGAAGTACAAGAGCAAGCCAGGCTGCTGTAAGCCCAGAGACTGTTGCAGGAACAAGGAAGAGTAAATGCAAAGGCCCTGAGACAGGCATGACCTTCACAAAGGGGCTGGGTGCCTGGAGAGGAGGCAGCCGGTGGGGAGGTTGGGGGGGAGCCAAAGTGGCAGTGGCAGAGGCTGAGATCACTCAGGTGGATCAGAGGCAGGTCAGGCTCTGGAGTTTCTTCTAAGTACACTGGGGGCCCCAGGGGACCAGGTGCAAGGAGGGGACGGAGGAACGCCGGGGACAGGCAAGCCACAGAGGCCCTGCACCCAGGCGGTAGCAGGAAAGGCGAGAGGCAGTCGAGTCAGGAAGCTGTTTGCAGAGACAAGAGCCAGCCGGTGCAGATGTGCAC